TTATAGTGTGATAAGGAGTCCTTGGGGTGGAATTGTCTGTGCATCTTGTAGATTTCATTTTATTCTCTTTCAAAATAATAGGTGTACTAAGGCAGAGCTGTTTCATTATTTTGAATGAAAAATTATTACGGTGAACAAATATTATGAGTATTGGGAATAAGTCACTTGAGTTCTGACCCACTGGCATTTTTTTAGCCAAGCTTGAATTTGCACCATTAAGAAATTTCTCTTTTAGACCCGCTAAGGGCACCACATTAGACTGGCTTGTTTTAAGCTTGTCTTCTTGGTTTCTGCCCCACCACCAGGGAACATTCTCCCCACCCCATCTCCTCAGGCTCCCTCTCTTGTTTTCTTTGGCTAGAAACTTCCAGGGTGATTGCCTTAGCTATTACTTCATCATTAACACTTAGTTGATCTCACTGGTTTGGTTTTATCTTTCTCTCCCTGTGTTACTCTCTTGGGATGAAGAACATTGCGGTAGGTGAAAGGGCAGTGACCCAAGAGTCAGAGACCTAGATTCTGGCCTTGCCTCTGTTACTCTTTAGCTGGTGACCTGCCCTATTTCTCAGATGTCTCCCTGGAGCAAGAAGGGAGAGAGGGCTTGAAGGTCTGGTGGGGATGGAATCTGTGTTTTAGAGTTTTGTGTGTGCCCCCCACACCCTAATTTAGTGCAGGCTGAGTGTGTGCTTGTAAGGAGTTTGTTATTGCTTACTTGAATGTCACCAGTGTTTGTAGCCTACAGTAACAATGCCACGACTTTCTTTTCCAGTTTAAGGGGAGCAGCACACTGACACATTATCATTAATCAAATGTTTTTTGTTTGTTTTTAAAAGATTTTATTTATTTATGCATACAAGAGTTGGGGTGTAGGCCAGAGGTGTGGGTGTGTGTGTAAAAGACACAGAATGAGAAGCAGGAACAGAACAGACGGATTCACTGAAATACACTGCTGAGGGAAGCAGCAGGTGAGACAGGAGAGGTCTTTTGTGCTATGTGGGTCAGCTCCCTGGCTGGGGATCAAACTCGTGCTGCAGTGGCTACTGATAGATAGCTTCATAATGCTGAGACTTAACTCCTTGCACCACCAGGGAGGTCCTCAAATGTTTTTAACCTAATGTTCTACCAAACATTATAAGTAAAGTTGACAGCTTCTTCTAGAGACTAATCAATGTCTACAAAATGACTTTGCATTACCAAGAGTGTGGATGTAGTTTAGAAAGGAGGGCCAGATTTTACTTCTAAGGTGAAAATATGTTTGCTGTTAAAGTGCATGAAATGTTTATATGGATACAAAAGACACTTGCTTAGAGCAAACTTCATGGATATTGCTTCGTGGTTACTATGATATTTTTGCTTTTTCTACAGAACAGTAATAAATCAGAGAAATATAAATATTAATTTTACAAAATAACAACTCATTGTTTCCAAAAGTTAATTAGCAATGAGAGTGTACAGTGTACCTTTAAACCTGTGAGGAAGGGCCTCCCTGGTGGCGAAGCGGTTGAGCTCTGAGCTGCGAAGCTGCCCACAGCCTCCGCAGCGCCGGTTCGATCACCGGCTGCTCCCCGTGAGGAAACTGGAACTCTATGGGGGACACAGGTAAAATACTCCCTACTGTCTTGAATTATAATTATATATTTATTATTTGAATAGTTGGTACATGGCAGCCATTTGGTACACTTTTGCTCATGAATGAATCAAAGTATTCTAACATTGAAAGGTGGGAGAGGGCCCTGGAGAACGGAGGAGGAGGGTGGGGCTGAAGCCAACCAGTTATAGGAGAGGTCAGAGTAGTAGTGACTTGAGTAATGGGCAAGGGTCTCTCTGGAACTAGAAAGAGGTGGTGAGGGTAAGGAGATGGGGAGGAAACCTGAGTCAGGTTGCTGTGGATTAAAGGAATCTAGTAGAAGACACCAAGGCTGGTGTTTTCTGTCAAGAGAGCTGGAAAGACAACCTGAAAGAATTGCACAATAAAAACTTACTGAGCATCTGTGGTGGAGATTTTCCCTCCCTAACCATCAGGACCAATGTGAGGTACTTGATTTAATAAATAGGCAGGATTTTATCTGTAATTCTTTATAAGTATGAATAACTCTTTGCAACTCTGACTTGCTGGCCCCTTATTTTGGGTTTTGTGTTTGTATTTTTATTTCTTTTTTTTTTTTTTAAAGATTTATTTATTTATACAAGCTCTGGGTACAGTCAGAAGCACGGGAGGGTGAGAGAATTCGCCAGAGCAGGAAGCAGAGCAGGCAGAAGGACCGAAGTACACTGCTGAGGGGAGCAGCGGGCGGCAGGAGAGGTCTGCGCACCATGTGGGACCCTCCTCCAGTGGCCTGGGAGCAGCCGGGGATCGAACCAGCGCTGCGGGCAGCTTCGCAACCCAGCGCTCAACCGCTGCGCCACTGGGGAGGCCCTCTGACTTAGTCTTAAGGGTAAAGTCAAGTCTGAGACTTGTATGGTTCAGTGTCCGGGAAATTCATTTCCGTTTTGGTTATTCTCTGGAATGTTTCTTGCCCCAAGTTGTCGTTGGAGATTTCTTGTGCCATCAAGTCAGACTCAAACTTGTCTGTTCTGATAAGACATTTCAAACTTAGTCTCCAACTGATCTGGCTGCTACTAAGTTTCAGGACTAGGATTGGTCCACAGTGTCATGGGATTCTTTAGACCAGCACTGCCCAGAAGAAGTAGAATGCGAGCAGCACATGCATTTGTAAATTTTCTAGTAGCCATATTTTAAAAAAAAAGTAAAAGAGGTGAAATTAAATTTAAATAATATATTTCATTTAACCCAGTTACTCCCATCATCATAAATGTGATATATAATCAATATAAAATTATTGAGAGATTTTACATTTTTTCATATTAAGTCTTTAAAATGTGGTGTGTACTTAATAGCACACATCACTTTGAACTGCATACTTTTCAAATGCTTGATAGCCACACGTGAATGTATTGGACAATATTGGACAGTCCAGCTATAGAGCAAGACTTTTTTTTTTTAAAAAAATAAGGGTTTTTTTTTTAGAGCAGTTGTAGGGTGACAGCAACATTGAGTGCATAATAAGAGAAAGTTCCCACATATTCCCTTCTCTGCACACGCATAACCTTCTCTGTTCTTACACCCGTACCAGAGTAGTACATTGGTGACAGTTTATTGAACCTACATTGACACATCGTTGTCACTCAATGGCATTAGGATTCACTCTTGGTGTTAAACATTCTCTGGATTTTGATAAGTGTACAGTGTTACCCATTGTTATAGTATAGTATAGAATAGTCTCATGGCTCTAAAAATTCTCTGTTCGGTGGCTGTTCACTCTCCCCTCCCACCTATTCTCTAGCAACCACTGATCCGTTTACCAGTGCCCTGGCTTTGCCTTTTCCAGAATGTCAGGTAGTTAGAATCATACAGTACATAATCTTTTCAAAGACTTCTTTCACTTAATAATATATATTTAAGATTCTTCCATGTTTGTTTGTGGCTTGATCTTTCCTTTTAGGGCCGAGTAATATTCCATTATCTGGCTGTGCCACAGTTTATACAGGGGAAGATTTTTGCAAACCAGGATTATATCCTAGCAGTGGGACATGTGGGGAGTGAAGGGTGTTCTGTGAGTTTTGGGAGTAGGAAATTGGAACAGCTGTGATTTTTTTTTTTTTTTTTATTGCTGTGCTTAAAAAGTTTCTGTGGGGCCTCCCCTGGTGGCGCAGCAGTTGAGAGCTGGCTGCGAGGCTGCCCGCAGCCTCTGCAGCGTGCCGATTCATTCCCGGTCGCCAGTGAAGGTCCCACAAAAAAAAAAAAAAAGGTTTCTGTGAATATCAAGAAAAGAGGAGTGGTCTAGGAGAGCTTTCAGGATGCAAATCTCAGAAGTATATCCTTAGCCACAAATAAAGGCAAGTTCTCTCCTCTACATTCCCCCACCTACACCTTGGAATTGCTTAGTCTAAAGTCTTCTGATAGGTCGGCAGATATTTATGTCGGACACTCCATTCCAGTTTTATGAAGATATTTAGGTTAAGCAAACTTCTGGAAGAGAATGGAGAACTGAATTTGCATGGGCACAATTTCCTCAATCAAAGAATATTAAGCAAAAAGAGACCAAAACAGGAGTTGGCTTGCTGCAATTCAGATGTCACTGTTTTGTGATGTGGCTCAGCTATTTTCTTTATTTGGGGGATGCTGAATGACCTGTTTTATCTCAGTTGAGATAAATTTCCTGCCAATTGAGCTCTCCTTATTGGCAAGCATTGGTGTATCAATTCTGAGAACTGTGTGATTGCAAAGCTGAAAAGCCCATTCATCAAGCTATGGTGTCACTGCCCTATTTAATGTATTAACTAGAATGTGACTTCATTTCAGCCATTTTGAATCTTAAATACAAGGAATTCAGCCTTTTATTAAAGGAATGAGTTGATGACAAAATTTGTCCATTGTATTTCTCACAAACAGTTTAATACCTTCTTTGAGCATCATTGAATTAAGAAAATAATTATGGGGAGTTATAGAGGATGTCATTTAGAAGTGGGCCAGCTTGAAAAAAATGATTGACTTCAGTTAACACCATAGTTTTCAGGCCTTTTTCAATATGTTAAACTGCTGGTGAGAAGTAATGGCTGGTTTGACAAATTTATCACTTTTTGTGAGAAGTGGAAGACTCAATTTTACCCTGTTTGAACAAGTTGCATTAGCCTTAGGGAGCATTTTGCTTTTGTATTCACACATCAATTTCCCCAAGGTCTGTTTGTAAAGAGGGGAAGACAAAGACTGGCTATGGCTAGTTCAGTAGCCCATTCCAAATCTAAGGCAAATCACCTTCAAGTTTTAATTTTCCCAGTCATAAGATGGGAATTGCATCTATTTGTAAAAATTACTCTAATATCTTCAGATGAAATGGTCCAAGAAGTAGAGATTAGTATAATGAATCATTGTGCTTCAGGGGAAAGAAAAATCTCATAAACCTTCATAAAGACTTTGTTATGTGTTTTTTTTTAAACAGCTTCTTTCAAAATGTCTACAGTTCACGAGATTCTGTGCAAGCTCAGCTTGGAGGGTGATGTAAGTATATCATTTTCACTTTGTGTCGTTTTGCAAACTGAACATCTCTGGGTAACTGCTTTCCTTGTATATCTAAAGAAAATAGGGATAAATTTCAGACATGCATTCCCTTGCTTTGTTCCTAATTACATTCGCTGTTCCTGCTAGTTCAATTTGAAAGAAATGTTATGGCACTAGAAACCTTTTTAGGATCACATTAAAATGGGACATCACTAGTGACTGGAATTTTATCCTATATATTTAGCATGTCATTGGTAGTTATTGTTTTGGTGATAAATAATTTAATGTCATGCCTTAGAATTTTATTAATGGTTGCCGTAAGCTACAGTCACATAAAAAATCATCCTGTATGTTTTGGATTTCTTACAGCATCCAGGAAATTATTCCAGATAAGGACTTAATACTTTTATTTTCTTTTTAGCAGCTGGGAGAGCTTTTCTTCAAAAGAACTAGGATGTTAGTTCTTTTTTTCTAAACTAACTAATGAAAGTATTACAATTCAACATGCACCTTTTTTGTTTTGGCTATTGGGGACCTCAGAAGTCTATTTAATTGTCTTTCAGAGGAAATATGTGAAACAGGAAATTCTGATGCATTTGCATTTTTGTTTTGCAATTATGAAAATGTTAAGCTATATGTGAAGTTATGTTACTGTGAATACTTGTAAAACCAAGAAGATATGAATGAAGTACATAAAAATTATGATTATATAAGATCTAATATCAAATATTTTTCCGGTCATCTTAGCAGAAATGGTTTTTACAAAAACAGAGTGATGCTGGTTTGTAGGCACATCTTCCAGATATTTCTAAATATGCACATAGAAATTAAAATACAAAGAAGCACGCCACAGTGGGTTGAAAGCACAAGGGTTCTCTCTGTTGTCTGTGGTTCTTGCCATCAATTGTTCAGATGGGTGACGTCGGTGCAAGCACAGGTTGTATAGACTACACAGCTTACATATTTTTTTGCCCTTCCCTTAGAACTTCTATACACTGTTGTTGGTAATAATACAAATTGCATGTTGAAATCCAGACAAGTCCAGACAAGCTGAATATTATTTTTTCTTAGTAGATCCACTCACTACATTGTTCTTAGTATCAGGTTCATGAAAGGGCTTTTCATGTAACATGGTTTTTTTTAAAGATTTAAAGATTTATTTTTTAAAGGTTTATTTTTGCATATAGGAACTGGGGTGTAGGCCAGAAGTGTAGGAGATGAGAAGATTCATCAGAGACAGACTGGGGAGCAGAACAGGCAGATCTACTGAAATATACTGCTGAGAGGAGCAGTGGGCAAGACAGGAGACGTCTGCTGTGCCATGTGGGTAGTTCCCTGGCTGGGATCGAACTCATATTGCAGTGACTGCCAGTAGCTCCATAGCGCTGTGTCTTTAATCCCTGTGCCACCAGATAAGTGGATTTTACAGGTGGTGGATTCAATTATCTATTTAACTTTATTTTCAGAGATATTATAAAATGATATAAACTTTCTCCTACTCAACTGCAGTTTGGAATCAAACAACATAGCACCTCCTAAATGAAGCCATGTGTTATATGACCCAACAACCACATTGCCTGCTTTTGTAAATCACTGATGGCCTAGTTAATACATAGAAAAATATTTTTCTTTAGATTTCCACCCACTATCTTGTAGCCATATAACATAAATAGTATTTCAAAAGGGCAGTTTGCCCTTACCTTTCCCTGAATGTGTGCTCCATTTCTATCATGTTAATCTCACTGGAAGCTTAAGTAGTGAAATTTGGTGGAAAATACTGTGATAATCCATTATATGTCAGAGCTATAAATATTTACTGGATTTACTGTTTGACCAAGATGATCACAAGTACATTTGCCTAGTTTTGAACTCAGATTTCTCGCTTATCCTGGAAGACATGTAAGAGGGTGGTATCTTAGTTGCTTATCTGTACAACCTCTATGCTATAAAACCAAATGGTGTGGGTGCTGGGGTGCCTCTAACATGATGCCAGTGGGCAGAAGGGTAAGTCAGGGCAAAGTCATCATGTTGTGATGGGCACACTGTTCTGGCAAAGGTGGTGGGGCTGGCAAGCTTTGCCATTGAAGGTGAGGCAGTGGTGGATAAGGCCAGTGGCCATCAACAAATCCAAACCATAAATTGTCTGTCTTTTACTTTGGAACTGGATAGCAGAGAGGAGGGAAACTATAAGGGCATTTCTTTCCTTTTTTTTTTTTTTTTTAAAGATTTATTTTATTTACTGATACAAGAACTCGGGTACAGGCCAGATGCGCGGGAAGGTAAGAGGATTCACCAGAGACAGAATGGGGAACAGAACAGGCAGACTGACGTAATACACTGCTGAGGGGAGCAGCGGGTGAGGCAGGAGAGGTCTCCTGCACCATGTGGGACCCTTGCCGGCCAGCTGGGATCGAACTGGCACTGCAGAGGCTGCGGACAGCCTCACATTGCGGTGCTCAATGGCCTGCGCCACCACGGGAGGCCCTATAAGGGCATTTCATAGGAGGGAAATGAAATGATACATTTCATAGGAGGGAGAGAAATGATACAGACATCTGCTATTGTCCTTTCTTCAATTTGGGGTGGGTGGATTCATCCTATCAGGAAGGGTAACGGGTTTTCAAAAGCTCTCCTTGGAAAAAGAGAGGGCCTTGTTCAAAAGCAGTAAGAAATAATAGCAAGAGTGCTGGCACATGTGATTGTGATTTTTTTTTTTTAAGATTTATTTATTTATACAAGCACTGGGTACAGTCAGAAGCGTGGGAGGGTGAGAGAATTCACCAGAACAGGGAACGGAACAGGCGGATGGACCAAAATACACTGCTGAGAGGAGCAGCGGTGGCGGCAGGAGATCTGCGCGGCAGGAGATCTGCGTGCCATGTGGGACTCTTGCGGGTGGCCGGGGATCGAACTGGTGCTGCAGAGGTTGCGGGCAGCTTCCACAGCCCAGAGCTCAACCGCTGCGCCACCAGGGGAGGCCCTGATTGTGTTTTGACAGCAGAGGAGATAGAAAGGAGAGAGAGGAACAGAAACTTGGTGGACATGGAGAGGATGTGGGACATGTGGCCTGACCATCTGTGATGCCTCAGCAATGACCAAAGTAGAGGTGTGGAGAAGAAAGACACTTCCCTTAATTATCTGATAGTCGGAGAGACGGCAGGTGTTCTACATTTGTTTTTTAAAAGAACTGTGAACTCAGCAACTTGGGCCCAGTGGAAATTCATGTGCCTGTAGCAAAAACTTGGCCAAACACACTTGTTATTCAGGCATCTCTACATTTCAGCTTGTTTCAAACTGTTGCCAGTCCAGTTTAATGCTCTTCAAAGCCTTTTCCAAATAAGTGGGCAGTTTGGAGTGCTGGGCTTTGCATTGTCTGCTTTTGAACCTGCACTGAAAGTAAGATGAAAAGTAGAAATACAGATAGCCTGTTCTAAACTAGCTCAGCCTTTTGAAGAAGAATTCTTAGTAGCAACAATGAAGTATTTTATTTTCTATGCAATGGCGTGTTAATACTTACCTACTTATCTAGTCTAAGAATGACTTGAGTTGCTAAAAGAAACAGTAGGGAAAAATCCCTTTTAGGAATTGATATTTCAAGAGGGTTTTGAATGTGTGTAATTTGAGGATGTTTGTCTTTTAACCTTAGCACGCTCCAGCAAGTGCATACGGATCAGTCAAAGCCTACACCAACTTCGATGCTGAACGGGATGCTTTGAACATTGAAACAGCCATCAAGACCAAAGGTAGGCCCTACAGGTCTGGTTGAGGCATTTTTAGTGGTTTCTTGATTCTCACTCAAATCTTCATACATTATGTGAAATTGTCAGTGAAGTGCTTCCAAACCCACCCCACCCCATACCTGCTTCTCTTCCTTTTTTCCACTCTTTCTCTCTCACTCGCCCCCACCCCTTCTTCCTCTTTGGAAAGAAAAAGATGTAAAACTTGAGAAAGTATTTTCACCTAGTAGTGGAGTAACAGGGAAAGAGGTGCAAGTTGAGTACCAGGAGTCTGAGCTGTGGGTGTGTGCTTTGGGTTCTCTTCTTCATTTTGAGGCCTTAGTGTCTCCCTAATAAAGAAAAGGCCAGTCATAGTGATTCCTAAGGGCCTTTCTTATTCCAAAGACCCTTGAATTCCATTTCATTTGTTGGAAAAATACTGGGAAATCTTCACACTTTGCTCTTAGATTGATTGAATGAGTAAAAAAATCTGGACTTTCTGCCGCTCAAGTTTTGCCCCTCCTCAAGTTTGGGGCCTGAATTAGAAGAGCTGTTGGAATGAGTATGTTTCCTCAAGTTCCAGAAGGAGTAAGGGAGGACCAAGAGGCATAAATCTTCCTTTTCAAAATAAAATAGATAAGCATTTAATTGGTGAGGTCTGAGTGAGAACCTGTTCGGGTCATTATGTTGCTTCCACAAAGGTAAATGTTCAGACTTTCTTGGCTTATGTTAATGAAGCACGTATCTTTGAGGTTGCCCCACCCCCAAATCCCTGGCAGCATTGCAATTATTGTGGTGATTCTAAAGTGTCACCACACTTTCCTCTGTTTGGGACAAAGCACTGCCTTCACTGTTAGGCCAGAGTGACCAGATCTGATTTGGAATCAGAACAGCTATGGCTTCACACCTTTGCTGAGGAGCCACAGGGCAGTGTTCTCTTCAAGGTAGAGTCACTTTAACCCACTAACACTTGTCTGCAATTCATGCAGGTCACTGAAAGACTAGGATCCTCAACCAGGATGACCTAGAAACCTATTAATAGGGTGACCATGTCTGGAGTATGCCCACATATTTACCAATAGTGCCCCCCTTCACTCCCAGAATTCTCATTTTGCAGGGAAATTACATGGTCACCGTTCCTAAAACCCTTGGAGAAATCCGTGACTTTGTTTCCAGATTTTCCTGATTCTTAGGAGGCAGAGGGCTTTGCGTCATCTGCCTCCACTCAACTTACACAGAGGCCACCTCCCTGCCTGAACAACTGCAGGGAGAACAATGAAGTGTACCAATGAGACCTTTAACAAATTTTCTATTTTGGTGCTTTTAAATGGCCATACTTGGCAAAAAAGTCAGGAAGTCACTAGTGAGAAAATGAAACCAACACGTACAGGCTTTATAGCACTATTGAAAGTTCTGGGTGGAATGTAGCAGCCAGAGCATGTGAAATCATGGTTCAAATCTTGAGTTTATCACTAACTTACTAGCTGTTTGATTCTGGAAAACAATATCCTTAAGCCTCAGTTTCCTTACTTTAAAGTAGAGCTAACCAAAGTGTCCACTCCACAGGGCTGTTGTGAAGTATGAAGCATTTCACATGGGGCCTGACATATAGCCAGTGCTTAAAATGTTACCTTACACACACACACACACACTCTCTCTCTCTCTCTCTCTTTCTCTCACTCACTCTCACTCACTCCACTTTCCTAAAACTCACCCTGTCTCACTATTTGGGTGTGCCTACATCCCTGGGGTTTCCCAACATGCCATTGTAGAACACACACTTAACTCATATAACAGTTAGCTCATCTGACAAGGATGGTGCCTTTTATAAGCTTGAGACAAAGGCTGCTTTTATTCCTGCCTGAGAAAGCATTTAGCATGCTGGAATGTAAAGATTGCACAGTGAACTCCAGTATCAGCTGAAACTCCCATGGTAATGAAAATACCATTAGGCCTTTTCTGAGCTAGAAGAAAAACACTAGTTCCCAAGCAGAAATGTCTGGAGGGCTAAGATTTGGATGGCTGATTTGCAGTTTGGTCCAAAGCCACTGACATCACCATCACACAACCATGGTTGCAACTGTTTATTGAGTGCTTGTTATGGAGGGCGTTGCACCAGGCTCTTCAGGAACAGTCATCTTAGGTAAATCTTAATCCTATCATCCCAAACTCCAATTGGGATTAACATGTTCCAGGTCTCTTGGCCTTGGTTCACACTAGAATTTGAGCCCCACACCTGTATTTTCAAGCATCCCAGAATTGTGCCATTCCATGCCAGGATTGGACATTTTTCTTTGCCATGAGCTATTTCCAGGGATGAAAAGCATTTTCTAGACGTGATTCTATTGCTGTGAATTACATGTCATAATTGTGGTCCTGCTGCAGGTCCCTTTTCCTCTCTTGTAGACTTCATGCCCAGTGAGTTCCACTTGGGACCACTTGGCATTTTTAGGTAACTAATACCACTTTTAAAAAATGAGCTAATTAAGATCTTGCTTTCCCTTTTAGAGTATCTTCTACCTTAAGTGTAATAGAGAAGCTTGTGCCACAACTTAACACTGCTTCCCCTCAAACCCTTCATGGGAGGCCTCTGTTAAATACAGGGATTGTAAACTGGACAGGCCTGGCGGGGGAGGAGGTAGTAGCAGGGATAGACCTGGGTGAGATCAAAGGGCTGGTACTGCCCACACTGGCTGGAAGATTCTGGAGCAGCTCTTATCTCTCACTTGGGCCATTAGGTGTCTGTTCTTTCAGTGGGCCTCTTTGCCTCATCCATTTTCTTTCTAGCTTTGTCTCTAATCTACCTCTTTCAGGAGTGTGCAGCCCCTTCTAGTGGGAGTTTCAGTCCTCTTCTCACCTCCAGATAATGCCCTTTCACTTCTCTGCTGGAGCCCATATACAGCCTCTTCAGTGAACTTTCTCTGAGGAGATGGTATCAATTATTCCTCCTATCAGTCTCATATTACACACGTACTCATTTGTAGCTCTTGTCACATTGTTAAGGTTAATTAATAATGTATGGGTTTGTCTTTATCACCAGAATCTGAGCTGCTTGAGGGCAAGAACTTTATTTCATTAATCTTACTTACACACCCCCTGGGTCTGTGAGAAGGTAAAAATTTATCCCAAGTAGTAATCAAAGTTTATGCAGACACCAGATCGCGCAGGTAAGTGCATAAGACTGCCAAATCGAGGCATCAAAGGACAGTTCCAGAATCTGGACAGTATCCAGAAAGGCTCAGAATCCCCTGCTGAGCTTGATCCACTTTCACAAAATGAATTTAGCTCACTTTCATAGGTCTGCTTTGTTCTAGTTTGAAGGGATCTTACCATTTCTGTTACCTAAGCCTAATGCATGATTGTCTTGTACATGCTCAGCTTGAGATAGACTATGCAATTACTTACCTTAATTTATGTCTAGTTAGAAACAGAATAAAGTCATGCAAAGGTAGTAATATTGCTTAATTAACAAGAGGTTTCTGAGTCTTAAATCTGTAGGAGTCTCTTGGTCTAGATTGGCCTTGGGTTAAATATATACTGTGGAGTGTACAACACAGCTGTGAATGGTTTACCATATGGGTCCAAATAACTAGAAAGGAAAGTCAGCTAAATTAGAAAAGGATGAATCTAGACTACATAAAATAGATTGTAATTAGAAGCAGCACAACCCCAGAGTTAGTGTAAGTGCCAATAAACTGGTACAGCTTTGGTCTCTCTCTTTCTGGAAGGGGAGGGTAATGAGTTGCCCTATTATTATTGCCAGTTTTGATTTTAGCAGTATTTGTGTTCTCCGGAAGGGATGCAAAAGCGGGTGATTTTTCCCCTTCTTCTTACAAGCACAAGTATAGAAGCATAACTGCAGCAAGATTTTGCACTTTTTTTTTTTTTTTCTTATAAAATGGAACTGCTACAGATTTCCAGCATGGTCAAAAAACTAACATCCCTCATCAGCGGAAGGCAAGTGAGAATATGTGTTTTTGGTTTCACCTGCACACCTGGAGGTGTATTCATACAGCTGAAATAGCAATTAGGAATATATTCTCTCCTGAAGATGGATTGGCTCTGAAAAACAGCCTCTTTCCTCTAGGGGAGGGGCAGGCAAGGAGGGCCCAAACCCACAAGAGTCTGAGTGAGAGTGTGTTTGTGAGAAGTCTTTGTGATTCATGTAGCCCAAGGCCTGATGGCTGCGAACTGGAAGGAAGAGAATCTTCCAAATTGCCAGGGTCTTTCCCTTGGTGTTCAAATTTATACCGAGTTCTCAGCTTATAGGGCTGCTGGGAACACAGGGACCAGCCCTGATTCGTGGCCACCTTTGCCCTGATTCATGGCCACCTTTACTCTGAGCACAGATTTTCTTAGAAACATTCAATGACATATTTTCTCTAGATGATTGTGTTAGATGCCAAGCCTGAACCAAGAAGCTTATGAAAACATAGTTGTCTTTCTAATTATAGGCTTTAGCTTTTGTTGCTGCTCAGCTTTCATTTTTATAAAGACTGTTACCTCTTTTCCCTGCCACCCAGGGACAATGAAAGTAAGCAGATTCTCATCTGGTATCCCCAACGCTAAGAATAAATAGTAACCTTTTTACTATTAATTGAGTTAGTGTGGGTATGTTGGTTCCTCTTGAATCTGTTCAGATTGTTTTTCTGTCTCATGGGACTTGATAGAGTAGCAGGGAACACAATGGTGCTTCGCACTTTGTGCATATTCCTTCATTTATAGTTTTACTGGATTTGAATCTGGAGTGGTTGCATAACTAGTGTTTTCCTGTTGGTCCTGTAGAGTGACTATGTCTGGAAGGCAGACAGCTTTCTGGATTATTAAAGCACCCAGTGGGATTACGAAGTACATGGCACATTAAAACCATTCTAAGGGACTCAGCTGAGGTGAGATCAGAGCAAAATAGAAACAGAAGAAACCTGACTTCTGGGCCAACCTTCTCTCCAGGCACTTAGCTAAACTTCTCTCCAGGCACTTAGCTAAACTACTTCCTTGAGTTGGGCCCATGATTTAGAAGAGGTGCA